TTTATTTCTAGGTATTTTATTCTTTTGGGTGCAGTTGTAAATTGAGTTTTCTTCATTTCTCTCTCTACTTCTTTGTTACTAGTCTATAGAAATGGAACAGATTTCTGTATAATAATTTTGTATCCTGCAACTTTATTGAATTCATTTATTCTAAGTTTTTTTGGTGGAGTCTTTAAGTTTCTTTGAACTTTAAAAAAAAAATTATTTATTTATTTTGCGATGGAGATAGTGTGCGTGCGTGAGCACTACCAGGGGAGGGGCAGGGAAAGGGGGAGAGAGAATCCTAGGCAGGCTCTGTGCTGTGCTAGGGCTCGATCTCACTAACTGTGAGATCATGACCTGAGCTGAAATCAAGATTCTCTAACCGACTGAGGCACGCAGGTGCCCCTTTCTTTCAACTTTGATCACACTGTCAGTATTTGAATTTATGTTTTTGCTCCAGTTCCCTGAAATTACAATTCAACTTTTGTATAAGCTTTCAGTGAAGAAAATTTAGAAGTACAGTATATCCAGAAATATATTCATATTATATATACTGGAAAATATTCTAATTTATCAATAATTGATTTAGTGTAGCATATACCCTATCCCCTCAATTTCTTAACAAGTCAATTTGTAAAGTACTTCTAAGATATGTTTGTGTCATTTAATAGTAACAAGACTTCTCTGTTCTACACACACACACACACACACACACCATTGGACAAAAGTGTTTGCCAGAAAACAAGGAAATCTGGGTTGTAGTTCTGACTCTAAAATTGACTATGTTACATAATGTTTTGGTGATTTATTTGCTAATCTAAAGCTTCTGTTTTGTCTGAGTCTTCATAAGATGTAGATGAAGGAATATATCACTCCCATTGAAAGGTGCAAAATATGTTTGAGGAGCTTATTGGATGTTTACTAATATTCTTATTTTTTAGATGCTTGGCTGGAAAGGCTGCATGAAAGATGTTTCAAAGCCTTATCCTCCTATTGTACCACTATTATAGTTTAAAAAAGGTTTAATATGAATTTTACCACTATTTTATTTTTGTTGGTAGCCTAAACTAAAAATTTAACATGTAATATAATTATAATCGTACTTGATTTTGTGTAGGCTGTTCAACAGGTTATTACTAACCTACGAATTGGGCAGATAGAACTTCGTTCTGAAGATTCTCCAGATATTTTGCCATACTCTCATGAAAGACGAGTTGAAAAGCTAGTTGTTCCCCTTGGTGAAGAACTTGTAGCCATCCAAAAGGCATATATCCAGGTAAGACATTTGTATCACAATTCAGGGTTTTGATGAATGAACTGATAATGTATTTTATTTTTTAGAATCTGGTGTGAGCATATTACATATTTATATCATTTTATATTATTAGTATTTGAAATATTCTTTGAAATTAATATTTTTGGAATGAGTACCCTGTTTTGTTAGTTACTATTAGTTAAAG